CTTGCTGCTGCCTCTCTACAACCCCAGTGAGAGACTTGTCGTGCCCCTCGCTTAGGAACACTGAGGCAAAGAACTCGTTGAGGAGTTCAGCCTTGTCCCCTCTGTCCGTCACCAATTGTTTCTGCCCATTTAGCAGGGGTCCTATTCCTCCCTGGGCCTTCCTTTTACTCTCTATATATCTAAAAAACAATTTCTTGTTGTCCTTTACTTGGGATGCCATCCTCAGCTCCATGGTAGCTTTGGCCCATCTAACTGCCTCCCTACAAGCGCGAGCAGAGGAGGTATATTCATCTTTGGGGATCTCGCCCTGTTTCCACTTTTATGTGCTCCCCTTTTGGCCCTTAGGCTGCCCAGGATTTCTCTGGTCAGCCAAGGAAGCCTCCTGGCCCCTTTCCCTCTTTTTCCTTGCATCTGGATCATCTCGCTTTGTGCCCAAAGGATCATTTCCTTAAGGCACAGCCACCCTTCTTGGGCTCCCATCACTTCAAAACTCCTACTCTGCAGTGTAGTGTCTGGGCAGGTGCCTGGGAGCTGCACATTAACCCCTGATGGGCCTGAGTGGCTGATGGATCACCAGTTTGACAGCCCTGGCCTACAGATACCAGGGAAGGCTGCAAGACTTCCCCATCCTTCTTCTGTGATAGGCAGGGTGGGTTCTGCACTCTCAAAAGTAGGTGTGCTTCAACCCCAGCCTAGAGCATCCCCCCACAATGGAGAAATTAAGAAGGAAAATGCACATAGAAACTGGAGCCTCCAAATCCAGTTGTTCCAAGCCCCTCTTGACATCTTGGTCTTTCTGTCACTGAGGGAGTGAATGAAAGCAAAGCCCAGTGCCTTCTGCTGGGAGTCTTGTTTCCCTGCTCCCTCCAGACTGTCTCTAGCATAAGCCCAGCACACAGCAAAGTGGAGTCCTACTTTGCCATGCACAATCCAGCTGTACCTCCCACTCCCCCAGCAACGCTGAGGACAGCAAAGGGAAGAGAATCAAGGCTTGACCATGTCCCAGTAGCCACCCACCCACTGGGGGGTTGGGGCCATGCAGGCCTCTGTATTGACACAGCCAAGGCAGGGTCCTGGCCCGTTGGAAGGTGCTTCGAAGCAATCAAGGCTCTCTGTGCCATCACCTCCACCTAGTTGAGGAATGGGGACTCCTGCGTACCCACAGATGCTGGGACAACATAGTGTCCTACAAAGTGTCCAGGAGGCAGAAAGGGCTGGCAAAGGGAAGGTTAAAATCTCCCCTCAGAGCTAAACTAGAGGGGATAACAAGATGAGGAGGATGGCCCTTTACATATATGAGCAGTGATGGGTCCTTCGAAGGGGCTTTCTGCTTTCAAACAGCAACTCACTGTCTTGCCTGCCTTTCTACTGCTGGGAGCGTGCAGCCTCCCAGAGCTTCTGCTGCATGTGCTGGATTTCTGGCCCTGGTTGCTGTGGTGTGTAAGGCTGTCGTGTGCTTCGGATTTACAGCCTTCCTCCTGGAGCTGCTCTAATTGTTTTCTGTAACGATATTGCTGGCTTCCTGGGAGTGAGGTCATTGGCAGATGCAGTTGTGTCTCCCCTCCAGACTCACTACTGGTTTCTGCCTCCTCCACCCTACTTATTATTTTGCTACCATGAGAGAGAGGCACATGGAGAAGGGGCTACAGATTGGCAGGATGACCTCTGAGGACTAAGTGGGATTTGAAAAGCCACCAGGACTGGTGTGAGCATTAGGGGATGGAGCAGTCTCTCAGCCTTCATGGCCACTTTCCACCCCAGGGTTGCTGAATGCTGTTCTATCAGGCAGGGACAGGAAACTGGGTCCTTCGCCCAGCTTTGCCATTCATCTGCTGAGGGATTTGAGGCAAGACAGGTCCCCCTTGCTGCCTCTGTTTCCTTTC